CATTGGCCATGCCAAAAGGTTTGCACGCACATTTGTTGTTTGAATACGAGAAGTAAGCCACGTACTGCTGTCTGTTATCACGATTATGGTCATTCCATAAAGAAAGCGGGTTTAATAATTCAACGCTATACAATGGTACTTTAGTCCGTGAAATACGGTAAGCTGTGAGATATATTAATATCAAAATCTTATTACATAATCTTTAACTTTAGTCAACCTTGCAATTCAATTAAATATTCTTTTCCATAACAGCATATTCGCTTGGCGAAACTGTTAGTTCATACTTAGTCATTGTGGATTGTTAATTGATTATCTATTAACCACGCATATATAGTCTGTAACAAAAAAAACTTCGAACGCGTATTGCTATGCAATATTAATAAATCATTTTGTTTGGGAAGTTTTTGTCCTAAACGCTTACGTTTATTCTTAACTGTCAATCTTTGTTTGTCAGCTTTTGCTGTAAAGCTCAGTCACAAAATATCTTGTATATACAGTGCGTGGCCTGTCAATAGTCCAGCTCTAAAGCCAATTAATAATTGCTCAGGAAAAGTGTACCAAAAATTGTAGAAATCTCTGAACCTCAGGAAATTTCATCGTCAATCACTCCCCAGCCCGAAAGAGCTTCGCAAATCTATCATTGCACTGTAGCAATTTTAAGGATAAAAGCTGTTAGTGCATTATATAGTTGACGAATAAAATTCTATGTTTAATGTCGCATTGATAAAATTAAACGCAAGCCAAATAATGAAAAGTATTAAAATTTTGTGGCAATAAATTTTTTGTTTATAAGTTATTAAATAAAGTATAATAATAAAGTTTATTCAACGGCATAAGCTGCCTTGTGCGATAAATTTAGAATAATAAAACATACCGAACAAAATACTAACATTTAACACACGTTTCAAGACGCTTACCAACAACCTTTGCTTGGTAAATTTTCGCAGACAAAACTGGCGAATACAAATTATTCAAACAAAGTATTCGTATATTTATAATTATTATCAAAATGCCCAAATCTAGCGGTAATTTTACCATAATCGTTAACATATTTGATGATTTGTAAATAAAGCCTGCATTTGCACAACACAAACTTGTCTAAATTGGAATTACCAGAGTAAATAGGGCTTTTTAACTTTGCGGTATACACGCCTGGTTGCTGCCAATATATCGTCTATAATATTAAAATAACGAAACACCAAGAACGGATATAGGAATTTTTTGAAAGCGCGTCAAGTTTATGTCTCTTTTACATGGTATAAATAGACTTTGCCTAAAACTAAAATTGACAAAATTGTTATAAATAATTAGATATTTATAATTGTAATTACTAAATGTTTATTTTTATTAATTATATCAGTTCTTTTTTTTTCTCAGATAATAAAACCAAATTTAATATTAAGTGCCAAGCGTTTTAATGTTGAATGTATTGCCTTGTCAATGCTCAATGTATTATAAGTTGCCACCTTGATGAGCAATTCTGGATCTCTCCCTACACTATTCTACCCAACACTTTCTATAGAATATGCAAATGTGAGCTTGATATGTGAAATGCTTGTAAATAAAGTGTACAATGTTCAAGCAACCTTGTTATACTTTGACAAGAATTTTTTTGCGCGCTAAGCGTTATTATAAAAACATTGTCGCATGCTTAGTCCGAAAAAAGGAAGACATGAATGTTCATGTATGTGGAAGAATGGATGTATTAAGTTTTAAAAAACACTTTGAAATTTTTGTTTTTGTTTTTTCATCTATTTTGATGTTGAACAGTGCGTTATTTTTTATTACATCAATTTTAATACTCAACTATGACCACGTATTAACACAGTGGCTTCTATGTGAAGTGTTATACAAACCGTGGACTTATTGATTGTGCATAAAAAGCTCATATTCGGGTTTTATTATTTTTATTATGGAATCTAGATTGTGCTCTGTCCTACATACACTTCCTGAAATTTACTAGTATGAAAAAAATTTTTTATATTACATATTTTTCGATCCGTCAATTCTTATTTGTAGCTCTTACATATGTCAGATATTGTTTCCTTTTGCAGGAGAAGAGATTAATACGACCTAAATAGAAATTTGCCGTTTTTACCAAAATGGGCTGTGTATAACTCCAACGTCTATGCAACCAATGTAGGACCATACAATAACCTGCATTGAATGATGCTCGATAACAACTGTAGAACATTGAGCATTAGCTTTACACTTATCTGGAAAATCTAAACATTATGTAGGAAACTCAACATTGGGATAGGATCTGATTTTACCGAATGAACATTGTTTCCCGACATTGGTTTGACAACTCGCCGTTATGTTGGTAGCGGAGGATTTCGGACACAACAAAATCGAGGTGCCTGTCACGCAACACAGCAAATCAGGGGTCACCCATGTGTGCCAAATAGACCTCGAAAAATTAGGTGCTTATTACAAATACAGAATCATTGTTTTGTGTTATCACCATGTTAACCAATAAGAGTGGAGGGATCTCCATACGTTTACATCGACAGGGAGGAGAGAAGCATCTTTTACCGACTCACAAAATTCTATCTTCGTAGTACGCTATAAATATCGTTCGGTTGGTAATTAGTTGTGATGAACAATATGCAAATAATCAACAATACCAGCATTTGGTATACTGTTATTCAGTAGACAATTGCACAAGACGATAATTGATGATGCGGTGCCATTGATTGATAACACATCAAAATTCATCAACATTAATAATTAAAAGTTAGTGAACAATAATTAAACAGCGTACATGAATGAAGTTTAATCGGTTTCTATGTCTCCTGTTATCGTACGACGGTGTCTATTTCTTTGTTGTTTGATGTTCTTTCGTCATGTTCTATTTCGACTCTCAAGCTGCAACGTGGTCAGAAAATGTTTTCCTGATTGGTCCCTGAGCCATTATGCGTATAACGTAAAACGACGAGTGAGCCCTCGCAAGCGACACATAATACCGACTACTTGCTTCTATTCTCATAGGCGTGATATAACGTACATTGGCTGCTCATCAATACTATAAGATTGTTATTATCTAATTGTCGCTTATACTCGATGTTATACATAGTTACGCCATTCACATGCATGCTTTTTTTATACACGCTAACTACGATTTCATTAACGCCAAAAATGTTTTTCATCGTTACGCTCATTGTCCGAATTCTCCCCGTTGATAAATGCGCATATTTTCATATAAGATCATGTCGTCTGTATGGTATGTGAATGCTCTACCGCGTATGTACGGATGCTGCAAGTGATTTCGCTCTCTTTCCCCTACTGCTGATTGTCACTGTGCATAATCACAATACACAGAAGAGGGGAAGGGGGGACCGATATTGTTTAGACAAAAGTACTTGTAAAAATTTAACCAATAGCGCAGTAAAAGAATTCAAACTAGCTATAAGAACGTAGAACAACATTATTAGTCACATTAAACAAAGACCTGCCATGACATCAAAGATACCATATATAGTATAATTTCATGTCCTATGCATTTTATTTGATGCTATCGTGCACTTCCTAGGTTCTGTTTATTACAATTATTAACACTATTATTTTGCTTGCTGATCGTTAGACCCGTTCTCATTCGTCTAATATATTATCCCACACCAATGGGCGATCTATCAGTACGGGATACAGCATTTTGTGCAGAGCACATAGGAACACAGATACGATTATCGGGGCAGAACTAAATAGCGGCTCCGGTTCAGAAAGAGGGACAGGGGAAATCTGACATGATGCGAAAATCTTTCAAGTTTTCGTCGACAAAAGACAATTATGTCTAGTTTATTTTGATAAAATAATAATTTTTCCGTCTGTTGCGGTCTCGACCGTTGATGGCATTATTATTATATCCATTTTTGCTAAAAAGCCATTCCTGATTTTTTTAAAACCCATGCCATGTGGATTGCATTTGTACCGCTTCGTTTTCTTACGTCAGCAACGTACACAACGGTTGCCTCGCTCTTATCACAAAATCGAAGAACACAGACAGATGGAGGTGATGAATTGAACAAGTAAAAACAAATAAACAAACAGAGTTGTGGTACACAAGTAGAATAGCGGATGTTGTGCGTCTTTGGTATATATATTATATGCAGACTAATTAGAGAACATAAACACTATGGAATAAATAAACCTTACAAATTAATTATATTATACACATTCACTATTGTAATATTATTGTATTATAATATATAATTTTTGTGGTAACTCTATTTTTTTGTACTATATTATATATTAATTAGTCTGGCCGTATAAAAATATTCACTCAATCCGTTTCGTTTCCCTTCTTACACAAGACGACCAACATTATCCGTCTTCTATCCTTTTCTCTCATCTTCACGTTTTACCTTCGCCCCTTTTCTCTCCCATCTACTGTCTTTCTCTCTTCCCAATCAACTGATGCGATAACGACTTTCTGTAAAGCAAGGATTTTTATTCCATACACTTTATCATCTTTCGCTTATCCACCCTTCACATGGCCAGAGAGAAAAGGTGGTCGATTTCATTAACGAGTTGTATCATATTTACATCTAAAATATCTTAGTGATTTTATACTTTCCTTCAACCTCTTGTAATTATTTAACGTCTTGATTCTGTTTACTATTTATTTGAACATCATTCATTTCCTTTTTTATTGAGTAATAACAACTCTATATATTTATTTGACTGCTGCTATTATTACTGCTTACTATTATATTATTTAAAAACAAAGAAAGAAAATGCTACTTGATCTGATAACATTAATTATTGGACTGGCGGTGAGTTTTGCGGGACTGATCATTGTCATAGTCAAAATGATAAGCAATCCAACAAAGCTCCGAACAGCAGCGTAAGTATAAAGCATACATAGAGGAATGAACGAACATTTATATGGCTTACAACTAGTACGATGATTAAAGATGCTAACCTTCTCTCTGTCTGTCCTTTTCGTCTATCCTTAATCTTCAACCTTTAGCCTAGTATCGTTTACATGTCAAGTAACGTTAATGGTAATAAACTTATGCCGTGTCATAATCGGTTCACCGGAAGATCGCTGGTATTGGTTCAGCTTTTTCTTGCTAATAGCCATATATCCAACCGCTTTAGTTGGGAGCATAATAGACTTGGGCCGTCAATTCTATCCCAGCGACGAATGGAACAATCATCTTTTCAAGATAGCAGCTGGCACACTTGCATCGTTTGATTTAGCCAATCTGATCTTTGCTGGTTTGACAGCTAGAAACAGTCTATCGGTTCCGTTTATATATGCAGCAACAATCAAGATGGTGGATGTCTGTGCCGGTGTGCTTGCATTTGTATATGCATTTTTCCCCGTAATGACGATTCGTACACAAAACAACAAGCGCCGAGTAAACGCCTCAACTGCTGCTGTTGGAGTATGGTATACGGCTGTAATAGGCACAATGGCTTTGGTATACATAGTTGTCTTCAGTGTTATCCTTGCTCTTGGAGGGCCGGAAGGAAAGACATGGTACGTTGGATTTGCATTTGATAGCATCATACGGAGCATAACAACACTCGCAGTAGCGCTACCACCGCCAAAAACAGTTATTCCTGCACTGAAAAATAGAATATTCGGCAGAGGAATGATGAGTTTAGCTATTAGAGAGAGGGGAGTCGTCAGCACGGGCATCATCGTCGAGATGTAAGGAAATAAGAAAACCGCCATTCAACTAAATTTAACTATTGAATGGAGATACGTACGCCAAAAACTAACGACAATGGATGTAAAGTCTGGAAAAAAAATTCACGAAAGCAGATCGCATATAACCGAAAATCATAAGATTAAGAAGAGACTAAGAAAAAGAAGGAGAAAATATGAGGAGGAAAATGTTATTAGAATCTATGTGATTAATTACTCATCCACCCTGGACTAATTATCTGTTGACCGGATACATATAATGATGGTTTTGATAAATCATCAATCTCATAAGATTAAGGACCAGACAACCAGGCATTAAAATGAGATTGTTATTCTCGACGATGCTATAAAAGACACTTCACCTATTACTATCTCGTAACGCTGTTATTGATACCTTTGACATGTAAAAGTAAAATTTAATTGTAATTTTAGCTTATAATTAAACCCACTCTGATAGCAATTTTATCATCTTCCTAACAAACTGCCGAAATTTTTATTGGATAATTTAATCATTTGAATATCAACAGACTATCAATTGATAATTTTTTCAGTGAAATCTGTTTTAAACATTTTAGTGTTTACGCGGTTAAAATATTTACCCGCTCTAAGCATAAATAGTAAATATGTAAAAAGTCTTGATAATGTGAGCAACCAATAATCAAAGTCAAACCATCGAAAATTTCTTTCTGTTCGGGTCCTCACATAAAAAAATAAATAGAAAAACTTTTATTTGAAAATCTGTCTGTAAAATTTCATAATGTTATAATATGTTCAAATCTCCGTATTTCTGTTTCTGTAATTCACCAAATAATATTATTATTAGTCAGATCGCTTTTTTGCGGAAACGTAGACGGATGGTTCGAAATAACCATATGCTTTTGTTTTCCAAGTATTTATGTATCATTGCGCGTCTATCAAATAATAATAAAGTAAATTGATATGCTTTCTTCTCGGCAACAAGTTCTTTTTCAGAATTTCCGGTCATTTCATTGATCTGCGGTTGCATGATTACTAATGTTAATGCTATCTACCTGCCTATTAGTAGGCTCGAACTTCTTGCCATCTTTTATTATTAGTCTGCTTCGTGAGGTTTAGAACTTAGCGTTTGCAAAGTTCTATGTTTTAAACTTGTCACATCGAAAAAAAAAAATTCCGATCTTGTCTACATATAGAAAATATATTCTTGAGATAGTCTGTCGATGATAAACTTAATGGCTGCAGATTTTTCAATAATGGCATATATACGTATAGTTTGCATTTAAACAATTAAATAAATTATCAGAACTAAAGACATGTAAAAGACCAACAGTTAATAAGCAGAAGTTTTGAAACATCTATAAATGTACTTTTGCAGAGCAATGCACAATTACGTCAATATGGGCGTAGCGGTGGGGTTAAGAAACAGTTACCAATGTATCAGTCTTTGAAATAAAGTATCCACGCGCATATGCTATAGTACCTAATTATCATTCGACATTTTGAACAAGCTGTGGCCTGCTATCCCCTGTCATTTAACATAAACCTTTTCATTATTAATTATTTCTCTGCTTCTTTCACTATCTATTTGTCGGAAGTCACTACACATTTTTCCAGATCGGTGACATATGAAAAGTGTATTTGCTCAAAAGCAACTGCGTAATATGACCTCAATAAATTATCTGATCGGCAGATAACATTACGTGGTGGGATGATTTGACTTTTGATTTTTACGCATAGATGTACTAAAAATATTACTAGCCAAGAAACTGAGGTTAGGGTTTACTCGAATTTTAATTTCACACGAGAATCTGTCAGATTGTCAATAGACACGGAAATACTCTTGGTTGTAAAGCTACAGTTTATTTTCTAGTACATTAGAAATTAGGGCTGTAGCATCATCATCGAGCTTGTCATTACGCTCACCAGTATGTTGAGGTCTAATTCTCGATGAGACATGAAATTATTGTTATGAAACTGTTTTTTTACAAACCCCCTCTTCCACAGCGTCGAAGTCTTTACAACATATTCGATACATAATTTTTACCCATAACGAATTTAAGCGACTGTCAACAGCACCCGTAACTAACAATTCGATAATACGCTGCGATGGGGAATTGAAACGAGAATTAATATTTTCTATTTGCCGACTTTCATATTCTTTCATATTCAAATTTCTGATCGCGAATAATTATCTCGATTATTGGACGTAAAGAGTGAAAACATTCGCACTTTATCATGTGTAAAATTGGATATATTTAATTCATTAATGTCTGAAAAGCGTCTCGACCTTAATTCATTCATGTTGACTTGTACTTATTAAACGCGTCTACGTTAGATTTCATTTAATTATGATGTCAATCTCAATAGGGGAAGAGTGAATATTACAGTCAACGAGAAAAATACCGACTGCTCTATGCATATACGATATAATCAGGTTAAATACCATACACAAGCATTTATTCCAATTATAATCCAAAATGAACGTGTCCTAAATATAGTAATAAAGTACATAGCCACAAAACTTTATGCTTTCTCCATATTCTAGACACTGACAAGCAAACCATCAAAATAGAATTCTTGTGTATTGAACAAAAGGATGCTGATAATTGCGAGCAAGCGTCTTTATGTTGATGTAATATAAAAGCATATAGTAAATGATAATTTATATGTTAATCTACCAGAAGCATAATCTTCTATTACTGTCATTATTCCTCCTCATATTACAGCTTCGCGTTCTCCGATCCGCGCAAAGTCAGGAAACGAACCGCATCGGTGTACATTTCTCGTTTCAATTGTCTGTAAACCTCACCTGCGCTAGCTTTAACACTCCACTTTGTTGCTAATTCTATGGCTTTACTCAGCACTTCACGTTCAGGACAAATGACATCAACCAACTGACTATCTAATGCATCCTGAGCAGTGAAGCGATAACCCTGAAGGATGCAGTTACGGTAAACACTAGGTGTCATTTTTGCCCTTACCAAGGCTGCCATGCCTGGAAGAAGGGGGGATGGGATATCGACTTCGTTCTGAGAGGAAAACGCATTTACAACTTAAGATGTGGGGGAAATGCCATGCAGTAAAATAAACCAATTTTAAACCTTGTTTCTCTTATCATTCATTCCGATCCTGGGTTTTATCAGCGCATCGGAAGATAGCTCTATTAATTGGTTTGTAATGACTACTTACCATACACAAGAAGCCTCTATCAGACCTCATAACGCGATAATCTACAAGATCAATTAAAATTGCTGTTGCGAGATGTCCATATCATACATAAAGTTATTCCTCACGGTCCGTCTTCTTACCATGAGCAAGGGCCAACATACAACCTCCTGCAAAAGCATGCCCATTTAAAGCTGCAACAGTCGGAATTCTAAATGTCAGGAATCTCTCCATCAACGCCAAATAATAATCCTCGAAAAATCCAGGCGTCGATAAAGCATGTTCCAAATCCAGCCCATTGCTGTAAAACTTCCCTTCGCTGGTGGTTATTAATGCTGCAGGAGTCCCATCCATTTCCTCGCAAAAAGCTTCGATTTCGTCAAGAATGGTGAACATGGCTTGACAAAAGGCAGTGTTTATACGATTTTCACCATTTTTCATTGTAATGATAAAGAGTGTGCCATCGGGCGACTGTAATGGTGTTTTGGTTAGAGAGATTAACGAAGACATTTCTGGAGGATAAATTGCTAGGGGTAAAACAAGTTATGCTGATGAAATGAGCCAATGATATTTCAAAAGTCAAAAGTTTGATTCATGTTACATCAGCGAGTAGAATTACCATCCGAATGTCTGATCAATCTGCGCTATCTGAAGAACTTCTCGCGCTATCGTCAATCTTTGGTGATGAATCGTTCTATCCGGTGGACCCTAATAATCCCTTATCTCCATATATTCTCAAAATAAATTTAACGTCCGATTCGACAAGCCAAACATTCTCATCCGCAAAATCGATTACACTAACTCTCTATTTCCCATCCACGTATCCATCGCAAGATCCACCAGTATATGAGATCAGTAGTCTCTACTGTGGTACACTCAAGATAGGGGACGAAATAAAAGAAGAAATACATGAGAAATTTAAAAAATTATTTATACCCGGAGAAGTGATCATATTCCAATGGGCAGAGTGGTTGAGAGAGTATATGGAAAGAAAGTTAGAGGAGGTGGAAAGTATGAGTAGAGTTATTGAAGAAAATAGTAAGAGTAGAGAGAATACCGGACTTAATCATAAAGATTATGCACCTAATGATGGTAATACTAGTGCGAATCATAATAAGAAAAGTAGTAATGTCAGTGACCTTCGGGGCGACTTTTCAACCAGCGATCCTTCACGAAGAGATGAATTAAGTTTAGCATGTCCACCAATAACTCACGGCACACCGTTAGAACACAAAAAGTCGGTATTTGTAGCTCATCTTGCGCCAGTGAATAATGTTAATGAAGTGAATGCAGTAAGAGAGACCTTGCTGAGTAACAAAAAGATAGCGAGAGCTACACATAATATATTGGCATATAGAATTGTACTAGACGGAGGAGTCATATTGCAAGGTGAGACGGATCTTTTTAATGAATGGTGTCATTGCAGACATAGTTGCTTTATTATTTAAAGAACAATGAGTGCAATCGAATGTATATGTGAGACTTTATTATTCATTTTGTTTCTAATAATTAGATAATGACGACGATGGAGAAGACGCTGCCGGAGGAAGGCTACTTCATCTTCTACAAATACTAGACGCGAAGAATGTGTTAGTAATTGTCTCTCGGTGGTATGGTGGAATAAAACTTGGCCCTGGTAAACTAGATGATCATTGCTTGCTGTTCATGCTACGTTCAAATATGTTAACCATTGTTGTTTACTTATAGATCGATTCAAGGATATAAATAATTGCGCAAGAAATTTGCTTGAACAGTGTGGATACATCAACAGTATTACTGAAGAGAGTTCAAAGAAATTTAAGAAGACTAAGAAATAGCCATTTCCTAATGACAAAAGATAGTTTTGTACCTAAAATTAATGATAATAAACAGATTAGCCTTTAAAATTACTTATTCTACTATGTCGTTAGAAATATTCTTGTTAGGCATGTGAGACTAACAAAACACTCAAGTCACCCTTTGCGCCATTCAAATTATCGTTTTATCAGTAGACGCTATTATGTCCGGTTTTCAAGATCAGAAACAATTCTCTCTTTTTTCTAAACGTTAGCAAGTTGACAATGATCGATCGAGCACGGAATAGAGAAAAACTGTACATATGATTAAGGATATATACTGAATAATTTATTGAAACACTCGATTTCGCAAATATTCATAATTCCTCGAATGTATTCTCAGAATTTATAACATTTTTAACCTCTGGACTATTTTCAATCTTCTTCAATTGCTTTTTCCAAATCATTTAATGCCACCTGGTTCAACCTTATTTTCCAAAAAAAAAAAAAGAGCTATGCAAGTGCACCCCCTTAGGACATAACAAATAAAGTCCTGGAGCGCAACATATATTCCTATAAGATGAGATGATATCATCAGCGATTGCAACACTCCATCTTTCGCAAAATCATTACGTCACTTGAAGGGTGATAGAACATTCTATGCAGACACAAGGACATTACTTGAACGATTGCCATGACTGGCCTTCTTATCTTGGAAATAGTTCATTTTGTTCCAATGCACGTCTGAATCACACGCATAAGAAAGAAAAAGATTGGCAGTCAAATATGGCTAATTCAATAATGTTTTATTTCCGAACGATACGCTGCCCGCGTTCCGCCTTTGAGAAGAGACATTTTTTGTCTTCATACATATATTAACTTATAGGTTGATATGACGATTCAATTTTGCTGGTCTTTCTAACGGTTTACATTTTGAATGCGTCATTCAAGTCGAACGGATGAGAGCTAAAAATATAAGAAAAAGGAAATGCGTATGCAAAATAGTAAATAACAATATTCACAAACGCCTTTATGTCGACAAATTCAAGTTGTAGTCATTACAATGTACTCACGCACTAAGCTGTGGCTTCTGTGAGTACTTTGATGACAGCTGACTGCGAACCGTATTCAATAGCTCCAGGTAGGATATGTTGCAATCCGTCGATAATCTAAAAGACAAATACTCATTATAATCAATTGAAGCATCAATTTGCCATTTACGTTTAGTACAATAATATTACTTACGCCGTTATAAAAGCGTGTGACATCGCTCCAATACACTTTCCATCTTCCTGCGCATCAGCAGAATACTGCATGTCCTTACATCTTTGTAATAAACCAACCTTTTAACAGCTGCTCACTTCATCACTCTTATTTTCACTGTTGACCATCCCCAGATTTCGTTTTACTCACCCGCCAAACATGATGACATCAGCTTTACTACTTTTTTCCAGTCTATTTTTCTCTCTAATTTTCCCTCCCTTGAATACCCTCACATAAAACCCAAGGAGATGGTTCGGTATCGACTCAAAATCACCTCTTACATTTGCCCACCAGATATTTGCAAGGGCCGCTCCTCCTTCAGCAATGAGGCTACGTCGTTTGATTGAGCCATTGGTAGAATATATGTACGGCAAATCTAGGGCAGTCCCCGAGTGGCACGAGTCAAAAATCGCAGTCAGGCGCACACCTTCGTGGTTGTGGTTTACGTGTACGTGAATGAAAATGAGCGATGATGAGAAAAATAAGCGTATACACAGATTAAACAACGACAGTTGAACTTATTCACAAGACATACCTTCCGGCAAGGGTTTTACTAAAATATCATGCATTATCTGTAAGAATAGATACGTTAATGCAACAGATTTGGACATAATGCCGTTCACACAATCTGACATACGTCATCGACAATCGGTCCATTCGTTTCAAAATCGAGGGGCATAATGGTCTCATCATAGCCATCTTCTTCATCTCCGTTTTTATCTCTTACTTGACCCCCATGGCCACTGAAGTGAAAAAATAGTCTGCAATATAGAAGTCATGCGATGAGAGCAGAACGTCGTATTTTCATATGACAGCTTAATCTTTGTTTACGTACGAATCACCCCGCTTGGCATCTTCAACAAGCTGTTCCATAGCCTTGAGGATGTTCTCTCTCGTAGGAATGGATGACCCCTGTTGATCATCTGTTAAGATTGTGATGTTTTTTTCCGGAAAGTTATATTTCTTTAGGAATTTTTTCATATTTTCTACATCGTTTTTACATCCTACATGAACAAAGGACAAATACAATAGTGTAAAAAGATGCTGGTTTGTTAGCTCATTGAAGTCAAGAGACAAACGCTATTCATTTCACACTTAAAAAGCGTTACTAACCTTGCAACTCAAATTTTGTTTTTTCGTAATTAATCCCAATTAGCAAAGCCCTCTTTTCTCCATCACAAGTTGAAGTCAGCTTTTCGGGAGATGTAATGTCTTCTTGACCGTCTCGAGATCGTGACCGAGACCGTGACCGAGACCGTGACCGCAACCGAGACCCAGACCAAGACTTTGAACGTTGTCGTGTCTGTGTTGGGACTTGCAATAACGCACCCGTACTCATATGACCAAATGCGGGAGCGTAGAGGTATTACTACGGTGATGATTCAACGCTCGATGAATTGAAACTGAAATTCGAATGAGGTTATTGGGTTCGTAAAGTATGTCAATGAGACAAGTAATATGGCCCAATTGCGAAAAGATGTCCATATATCACCCAATAGAGCATGATTAAGCTTGTTTAGACAGGCTTTCGAAACATTAAATCTTTTGCAATTCCGAAAAGGGGTATCAGAATGCTAAGGAATGTGACACGGATATCTGCAAAGAAAAACTCTAAAATTAGCTTTCTTTAACTATATTCGATATGGAAAGAAATTCATTAAAAACGGTAAACTTGTACTTTGAAGAAGAGCGTGTTACGTTATTATTATCGATTACTTAAAGTTATTAATTTTGATCAATACAGAAATGGAATAGTCGAATTATACGCAATTTGACGTCATTCAGCAGTTTTTAAATTTTATGGCCTGAAAGAAATGACAATAAGCAAAACACCACATCGTATTCACATTACACTTCCATCAATTTTAATTAGTTCATAATTCATCCCTGATAATTATAACTACTAAAGGTATTTTGTATTTTATCAGAGGAGCTATAAACAAAAACAACTAATTTAGTTGATCCTGGCAACAACTATTAATGACATTAATATTAACATCTTATATATTCTGCCACTGTGAAATGCTGACTGATGTTTTGTGTCAGCAGCAAGGCTGCTATCAAATCGAGTTAATATAACAGCAACAAAATCAGACAAAGTGAGCTAAAAATTGCTAGCGTGGCTAAATTGGCTACGGAAAAGTTTTGTCGCCAATTCTTTATTTCGATAATTCCAAATACAATTATTCAAACAATACGCCCACTTCTCATAGTCAGCTTTTGGGATGGGTGTCAACAAATTTTAAATCTTTTTCTTTCTTTCTTTCTTTCTTTCTTTCATCATTTGACGGAGTAAGCAAAAATTACAAGAATGATCTGAATTATATGGCTGAGGGGGAAGAAGTGTTACCTGTTACCTTCGAAGATATTCAGTTATGATTGCGCTAATTAATGTGAAGCATGACATCTGGGCAGTTTTTTCATAATGTTCGAAAATGCTTCTGATAGTATACCATTTTTATAAACCTTTCATGGGAAGTGCCTCCGTTTCTGTGGTAATAAAATATGGGTCAGTGTTTATGGTGTAGTCGATGTTGGTAATATTTTTCTGACGCTACGACGCCTTGTCATGAATGCTCTAATTCTATCCCTTGAACATATAAATCCAGCTTAAATTGGATAAAGAGATAGTGCCTATTCTCTTACTGCATTGACCAACTTGAGTTGGCTCCAATTTCGAAATGAATTCCTAACGATACATCATTGTATATTAGGTCACAACCCTCTCATCAGGGGAAGGGAGGGCACAAGGGAAGCTGTTGGATACGTTAAGGGAGAAACTGGTGAACGAAGGGATAATTTCGGCCATGCAGCAGGCATGTGACTAGCTGATTACGGAGAGGTCAGCAAGTGAAGTGTACGCAACTACACAGACAAATAACAATGTTGTAACTCGGGTGCTGGGGACAAATTTTAATTAGAACTGTCATATTCGCCAATTATACGGAAATACTTTCTTATTCTTGGCGATAGAAATATACGGATTAATTCAAAAACTTTTGAAGATTGATGTATACTCTCAAGAGACTTTTGGTGTCTTTGTGCTTTGAGAAGGTATCTAGCACATAAAAATGTATCGTGTAAAGATAAAAATGCGTCAATATCGTTACAAAATATTGGCCATACACGTTCAATTTCTGAATTTATCAAGCGATATTAATATCAGTTTACTCTGCAATAACAAAGTGAACATTTGACTATTACTATGTGAGGTAAAATTGCTAGTGTAACTGTTTTCATGAATTGCATTATTAATTTGATATCAAAATGCAAACTGGTTGAGACAAATGTTTTTATACGGGCCTATCTCTATTACTATAAAAAAAAATACAAATCTTAATATTACCGTAGACCACTGACTAAAGTACCCCGGGTATTTTACATTTCCCACTTTTTAGAGGGGTACTTTACTCGGGGGGTACTTTGGTACACCCATGGTAATACATTGACAACCCCCATAGTATTAGGTAACGCATTCTATATAAATAAAGACTTGTCACGCATAACAAATTCGTGTTCTCTTCTACCATGGTTCGCGCTAACAAACCCATAAGACATTCTCGTATCACTAAACAAGTTCGCAGAAAATGGAAGTTATAGTAATAGTGAGAATGATACCATTGATATTCATTCGGATAATGAGAATATTGAACCATTAGGGTCGACTACAGAGCTACATATTAATAACATAGAAGGAGATATGTTGGAAAATTATGAAAATGACTGGTGATCGAATAAAACTTATAGTTACACCAATATTATTTATCACGTGACAACGTAATATCTGATTTGTATAATACCCGGGTCTTTTACAATTTTGCCGGCCCAAACTGCTGCAGGGTACTATACACGGGGGGGTACTTTAGTCAGTGGTCTACGGTAATTTAAAGTTCTTGAACCACAGAGATAAATATATGGTCCGTATAGTTCCGAGGGGTCATTTAATGGCAAACGCGAGAATATGCGGCTAATTGTGAAGTTCAATTTGGTGGTGGATGGTGGGGTTTTAGAGCCATTGGCAAAGAGAAATAAATAAAAGGAATAATGACGTAACGTTTAAATAGATACATGAACATGTTAATATGTATTTAAACGATCCGTTTTTCAATTAAACGGCTTTAAATTATTCCAAGCAACAACATAGAGTTAGCGCTGTTGCTCACATCCAAGAAGTTACCATTAGGTAGTTACAGTTATTACACAGTCAGTCTCGATAATTCGGCCAATATTAATCTATGTAATTCTCGATAAACCCGTAAGTTATGAATAAACGACTCTCGATAAATTGGACCACGTGCTTGTTGATTATCGGTTTAGTGATTGATAACTCGATGATTTAATTTCGTAAACAGGCATTTTGCCTGACGAGGAAACGCGCGAAGGAAAAAGTGAATTGGAAATGAATTAGAAGTTCGAAGAAATGAAAACATATCTGCTTTGAATAGCGTTCCAAATATATTCAACTATTTACAACAAAAGCCCGACGTAAAAGTAAATGTATCAGTAATCTGAATATTGAAAGACTTGTAGCATCAAATTGGAAAAAAGCAAAATGCTTCTCTATAGCAACTCATGTTAGAAAATTTTGTGAATGATGAATTTGTGTAGATATTTTTGTTGTCGTTAAATATTTAATATTCGCCTATTGTTTAATTTAAATGAAAGCACTATTTATAAAATATGAATGCAAGTGACAAAATCTCTGCCCGATGGGTCCGACTATGAGAGTGACCATGTATTAATCGTTTATGCTTCGATGTTGTTTAGAATAAAATTTTATATCTTAAAAATAACCTTGCCTTGTTATAAAAACCAGCAGATTCTAAGGTCAAAGCAATCAATTTATTTTGCTGACAGACATGACGATAAGTGCGTGTCTTGAGACAGTTCCAATTTTGGTGCTTAAACATCACGTAAGGAGCTTGGGTAGAGAGAACTTAAGAACGAAGGTCGATTTTTCGTATAACAAAAATTTTACATGAAATTCTACCTGGGATTTTATTTGCTTTCACATATCGCCGTATGCGATCATAAATTTTAGTCAAAAATATTCTTGTATTAATGTCAGTAACTTGACCTATTATACTAACTCTTATACATACATAAGAATTATGGCAATAGTTACAATGGTGGACCCCTTCCCCGTCTGAATAATCTCCCACTGATGTAAACTTTTGCAAACCAAATTTAATCTCACTAGTCTCCAGCCTAACATTATAGTTGCTTTGTCATTACCATAAAGCCGGTAAAGTTTAAGTGCTGAAACAATCAACGTGCAGTATGACTACACTGAGTGTTCCAAATATCGAAAAAAAGTTTTACGTAAAGCCTAAAGTAGAAAAACTTATCTCAAGATTCTAAATGATTGTCAAAGTAACATTAAATAAACCTTTAACATCGAAATGAGGATGCAGTACATTCTATCGTACGATATCATCATCGCTTATTTGCTGATGCCAAGTGAGCCTCGTAAGCTTTTTGTACCCAACCTTTCATGTCAACATTAGCATGCTCGTATGTTTTCAGAAAAGAATGCTCCTATATATTTTAGGAATAATGTCAAAACGGGTACTATAATAATTTTTGTGTGTTAAAGGAGCAAAACCCACGTACCAGAAGCTGAGCATAGGTAGGACGCGCTTGTGGATCCTTCTTCAAGCTGTACAGAATAGAAATTAAACTTATGATGTCAGTTTGAAAAAAAAATGAACCAACTGCTTTACTAAATTATATAAAACGGTTAGCATACCATTGAGCAACAAAGTCCCGAGACTCTTCAGAGAATCTGTCTACTGGTAGTGAGGGAGGATCTTCATAGATTATAGCGTTTATGTATCCCAAAATACTACTATATTTGTCCGGAGTGGGATACGGGTATTTACCAGAACCCAGTTCAATAATGGAAAGCCCAAGAGACCACACATCTGATTGAACAGTATAAGTGGTGCTACTTTCTTGCGGTTTTATACGTTCAGGCTATAAAAATTCATCTGTCAGTTATATTATCATGACAGAAATCACTCAAAGTATCAAAATAAACATACCGCCATATAACTCTGACACCCAGTATAAGTTCTAGCAAGAGAGTGTATTAACTGACCGGATACACCAAAATCACATAGCTTAATTTCCCCTTTCATATTAGCAAGGACATTTGTCGGCTTCACGTCTGCGAATAGAGATGTTTTCGTAGTAGTATTATTTCAATAAATTAATACACAGTATGTATCACTTGAAGAGACGTACCTCGGTGTATCTTATTCAATTTATCCTTCATAAATTGTAATCCTTTGACCATCTGAATGCGTTAAAGTGAATCAATTTACAGACGTTTGTGATAAAACTAGTATCATATGAAACTTACCGAGATTGTCATCGTCGCTAACACATCTTCAGGAACCCCATCGCCATATAGTTTATCCAGAGAACCCGCATCCATATACTCCATACAATAGTATACACAAGATTCTACAAAGAACGCACCATAGAACTCGATAATGTAGGCACTGTTAGATTTGTGGAGAATGTCTAATTCCATAAGTATTTGATTGAGTTTGTTCTCATCCAGTTCCAAACGTATTTCCTAGTTGAAAGTCATCGAATTAAAATCGCCATTACTAATGTTACAGTCAAAGAAATTCATTCATTTCACCAACCTTCATTGCCATGATCGCACCTGTAGGCATGTGTAGCACTTTCTGCACAGTACCATACTGGCCTTTACCTAATTCTTCGATGTACTTTAATTCTTCCATATTTATCTTGTAACTAACACCGTTGCTAAAGTCTACTCCTTGTGCGTGGAGAACAGCCTTCCCGCTGAAGCTCAGTTTACCTGAGGGATCTCTGTTCAAAAAAGGAGAAGGAATTTACTATAATTCGATCGAAAGGGATTTTATGCGTAAACATGACAAACTCTTAAAAAGATACTCACACATAGTCACGAACTCTTGTAAAAGAATTCTGTGGTGAAACAAGCTCGCTGAGTCTACCAGGCGGCTTTCTAAGAACTCTTTTACTCTGGTTATCTTGTATTGTCCTTGTCCTAGATGTTAGATGTTGCTGCTGATGGGAGGACGACAGCTTGTGATTCGAAGATACGTGGATAGTCTTTACTGTAGTCCCTCCAGTAACTGGACTTTCAGGTTCGCTACAGACGAAGCAAACCCATCAAAATATAGTATAACGACAGGGCTAAACTTACAATCGAAAAAGTATGAGACAACACTAACCCGGTTTGTAGAGACATGGTGCGATTGAATCAGGGACGAATACGCAAGACAAGAAGGAAAGTCGAGCTTATGATGTGAATAGTTTACTATTAGTATTTACGTCAAAAAGCCAAGAACGTGCGTTGAGGCATGGTGTGACACTGCTGATACAGTCCCACGCTGCGGTCAACAAATGGTGAGTTGAGAAGTATCACGAGAGTTACGAGCGCCTTAAAGTACCAGAAAGAACAGCACGTGTTAAGCCTCGCTCTCACATGTTAGTTTCAGACAGAAAGACACTTCTTTGATCGTCTATTGATTCGCATTAGGTAAAATTTGCTCACGGTTGTGATTTACTACCACAGATTAGAACGTGAACAAACATCAATAAGAACGAGTCAACGAACCTTTTCCCAATGGTAGTTCTCATGAACCTTACGTTATAAACACCTTGCTAGCGTAAGTGAAATAAAAAGTCGGAACTTCTGTATGTCTATAATCTAAGATAGATTTGCTTTAATTATATTTTACAAAGAGAAGGGCAAATATCTTGTGTCTTTCTTTTTAGGGTAGATTTGCTATTTTTCTTTTCAGTCCTTTTAACCTGCCCCTCGTAAAAGTTCTTAATCTCTTTCTCAAAGAGGGGGAGTTTCGGGTATATTCAACATCGACTTGTAATTACGAAAGTAACGTTAAATGCTCTAAAAGCTTTCGGTTATTATTATTTGTTATCATTCTGATTTAAGGTTAATTATTTAATCTTAAAACCCGACGTGATAAAAATAAAACCAACAATTAATTAATTTCCATTAAGCAACGGGATTGAATTCTGTTCAGGTTATGGCAATTACGCAGTTGGATGACTCTAAAATGACATCTATTACTTATGCATTGAGATGAGTGTTACATACGTTTGCAATGTATCCTTAAGACATATTAATATGCTTGCCCAGAATATACGCAAGTAACATTCACTAATTTTCATGGAGGACGAATATTTCTATTAATTCTCTGCAAATACAATAAGATTGTGGTTTTTTTGCTACGTCAATACCGAGAAATAACTCATTGTCTTATATCATTGTCATAGACGCATGAACATTAACCCCTTCAAAGGGGAGGTTTGCTCACGAACCTTGGGTCAGAAGCGGGTGTTATTTACAACGTTTACGGCGGCCAACTATGAAAGAATCCTTATTAACGCTTACAGTAGCGGTCATAAGTATCCTGCTGTCTCTAATTCAGGACAGGAACGAGTGAATGCATTGATAATTCCTCTGTACCATAAATTAATTCGATCAGATGTCTCTAGCAGATTTTCAAACATCCCATTTCTTGTAGTTCCACAACCATTGCAAGCTTTATATAATCAAGCAAACTTTGTCGATTTACTTTTAATAATCGATTCTTTTTAATAACTAGTTGACAACGATTTTCATAAACTGAATTTATTTTATAGCTTCATCAGGAACATTATTCCACTCTCACCATCTTTCTTTCTAAATCTTCCAAATTTTGTAGCACTACTTTCTTTTAATGATATTCTGATGGGGTTTAAAGTTAGCAGGCAATCCATAACCTGTGGGACGTTATTTTTAAGAAATTCTTTCGCTAGACGGCTAGTATGTTTAGAGTCGTTATCTTGCTGCAGCCGCCATGGATTCTGATATTTCAGGAATATGTTTCTGCAAAATTGAAGCATGGAATGGGGCATCCATAATGTTTCTAGAGCAAAAGATCGAAATGACTAATAGTGTATTATTGAATAATTGAAATGCTGTCTCAATTATCATTGAGTTGCTTTTGTGCCTACTCTATACAATCTCTCTTGTGTTTCAGTAAGCATTGGTGTTTAAATAGGCGACTTTTTTGAATACCCGCCTACTTATCAACATAAAGTATCAACACTTTGGGAGTGCAACTTATTCTTATAGAATTGAAAGACCTCTCCTCACGTATTGCCTAATTCTCAAACCGTATTAACGTTACTGACCATTCCTGCATCTGTGTTCCAACGTGTTATTTCTTTCATTTTATTGACGTTGTGGGTAAGCCTGTCAATCTACTTAATTTTGGAACAGAACGTGCGCCTTGCTTCCAAAAATGTAATAAATTTATTTTCTTGTCGTTTTGCGTAAGCGAAGACATATTAAAGAGTATGTTTCTAAAAGACGCAAACAGATATAATAGAACGCGAAGTAAATTATAAACAAGATTCTTGGTTTTTCTTTTACATGACGCTTTCTGTGCTAAAATTGGTGGAGATATGCGGGCATAAAGTTTTTTCGTCACACACTGTATATCGCGATTTCGGTCATAAACTTCTAAAATTCATATCTCCATGCTTTTCGGTCCAAAATCTGTGGTTTTTTTTACTTGCTCTTTCGCACCATCAAAATTGGTTTATAGATTCTGAATAATTATTACGTATACGTGAATCACTGCTACAGATGCAAATGATCTTGATTACTAGGCATGCACGTTTACAACAACAATTTTTTCTAATTCGACCACCCATATTAATATGTAGAGACAAATCTGGCGTATTAGACAAAGAAAGATTATTGATTAGAAACATGTAGAGATATGTTAGAAGCAGTAGATACTTATGACCGCTACGGTTAGGGGCACGAATAATTTGATAGCAACGCGATATATATTTAAATATTTCCACAGCGTAGTTTTTTTTAACTCCCAATATCGCAGAGTTTTGGAATACAAACTATGGCAATGAACAAATCGAAGGAAGCAAACTAATTTAAATGGGCAAAAAAA